AACGTTGATTGTACCATGTACTATTTGTGCCACGTTAACGTTATCTTCTTTCCTTTTTCACTTTAGAGGATTCTGCAAGCATGAGTTTAGAAGCAGGAACATAACACAAGGTCATTAGAACTTCAAGTCTCCAAAGTCTACAAAATTGGGTCTTCAGGGTCTTCAGGGTCTTCAGCACTTGGACGTGAGAACCATTTCTTAGAACCTTGGGTCTTCATAACTTCAAGTCTTTAAATTCTTTAGAGTATTTAAAACTTCTTTCTTCAGAGCCTTTAGCACTTGGTATTTAGAACCCTTTACTTAGAACCATGGGTATTTAGAACTTCAAGTCTTCAGAGTCTTTAGAACTTTGTCTATCAGAATCTTCAGCACTTGGTCTTGAGAATCCTTTGTCTTCAGAAACATTAGTCTTCAGCATCTGGACTTAAGTAGAAACATATATCTTCAGATCTTCTGACTGGTTTCTTTATAATCCTTTGTCTTCAGAAACATTAGTCTTCAGCATCTGGACTTAAGTAGAAACTTATGTCTTTAGATCTTATGACCGTTTTCTTTATAACACGCTGTCTTCAGAAACATGAGTCTTTAGCATCTGGACTTAAGTAGAAACTTCTGTCTTCGGATCTTATGACTGGTTTCTTTATAACACATTGCCTTCAGAAACATGAGTCTTTAGCATCTGGACTTAAGTAAAAACTTCTGTATTCATATCTTCTTACTTGTTTCTTTAGACTTCATATCAGAGCCTACACTTCAGAGTCTTCCAGAGTGTCTTGCTACTGTTCATCAGAACTTGTGTAGCACAGAAGCAGAACTAATTCTCTTCTAATGTCTTGGTCACGCCATCCATCAGAAGCAGAACCTGTTTGTTAAATACTAAAAAATAACAAATATTAGAGTATTAAAATTGTTCATACAAACATACTCATTTGTTATCATCAAAACTCAGAGATAGTATTGCAGAACCAAATCTTATTCTAATAATACATAAACTGGATCATGCGCTTACCACTAGGCCAAAAGCAATTGCTAGTAGCCAAGGTGCTACTCTATTTCTTTATACCGAATCCAACAAGGGGCCTACTTGGCCCACCTAAAACACATGTGTAGGCACCCATGGAGGGATGTTAAGCCCTTCGAAGCCATAAGGTTTACACTGGATATTTTAATCCAGCAATCTCCCCTCCCCCAATGTCAGTCAGGGGGATTCGAACCACCATGACCTGCTTTGATACCACATAAACTGGATCAAGCTTTTACCACTAGGCCAAAATCAATTGTTAGTAGCCAAGGTGCTACTCTATTTCCTTATAGAGAATCCAATAAGGGGCCTACATGGCCCACCTAACACACCAGTGTAGGCGCATATGAGGGGATGTTAAGCCCTTTGAATCCCTAAGGTTGACGCTGGATATTTTAATCTAACAGACACATCCAGTTTGTCTTGGTCATATTTTAACTTCCTTTTGATTCCAAATTTGCCCTTCTTGTCCTAATTGTCACACAAATATAAATACCCATTCATGCATCATTCAAAACTTGATAATACCATAAAATTAGCCTACTTTTTCTCTTCTTCTTCAACCTTCTAATCTATGCATACACAGCAATATTACATTGTGATAATGTTTCGTCGGGGTTCCATCTAGATGAAGAATTAAAGATTTCCAATTGGTTTGGGTTGAGTTCTTGTATGCGTCTTCATCCGAGAAAAATCATCGAGTTTTTCCTCCTAAATCATGTTGAATTAGGGGTTTTCGTGCAAGATCGTTTGAAATTTCATCCATGAGAAAAATCCCTTGGAGTGTTTGAAATCTTTTCAAGGAACCTTAGAGTGTTTGAAATATTTTTAAGGAAGTAGCAAGAATTTGGTGATAGAATCGGTGATCTTGTATTGATAGTTTGTAATATGATTTACTCGATTGAAAAATCCCTTGGAGTGTTTGCAATCTTTGCAAGGAACCTTGGGGTATTTGAAATCCTTTTAAGGAGGTAACTTAAGCGGCGAATAGGTTGCCTCTATCGGTTAATTTGATCTTGCTTAAGATCAAAGGTTAGAAAAAGGAGTATCAACACCAAATTGGAGAATTTTGTATTGTTGTTTCTAACTCTTCCATTGTATTAAACATGTGGCATTTAAAATTATTCTAATTCCATTAGAATTAGGTGCAGACGTACCCACACGCAAGGACGATAGAGGGAAACTGTGTAGACAAATTTCTTGTGTGTTTTTACTTTTATGCTTTTACTTGCTTTCAATTTCAACAATATTTTTATCAAATAGCATTGTGATAGTAATTGAATTGTAATAATTTTTCTCTCAAATCTATTTTTGAAATAGGTGTGTGTATAACTTATAATCAATTTTGATTATAAGTGGTTTGTATATCAACAATACTCAAAGAGAAATTATGAAAATTCACTTGTACACCAAGTGTTTGATAAAATGATCAAGTTAGTTCTTTTATTATTTAGCCTTGGAAATAGCATTGCAAAGTGGTTGTGTTCAAACAATAAATAAAATGGATTGTTGATTTACGTTTGTATCAATCTATTACTCATTTTGTTTCATAGATTTATCTTGTATAATTTGTATATCCGAGTTTCCAATAAGTTGTTTTTAGACGACTTATCCAGCTAATTGCTACTGCATCAAAATTTTTAAAAAATAATTAATTTCTAGATTGTGTATAGAAATAATTTTTACGCCTCTATTCACCCCCTCTAGATACGCGTCATCGTCTAACAACGCAGACTGTGGGAATTGATGTAATGTCTAGGGAAACATTTGTGTCGTGATAATCATGTGGCAAATTTTTTTACTGTTATATTTGTATCGTGATTTTCACGACGGTAATTACCCTTATAAATCACAAATGCATTATTCCAGAACCACCCTGATTCATATCCTTTCTTCCTCTTCACCATTTCTCTTCTTCTTCTCATCATCAATCTTTACTCTTTCTCTCCAAATTTTCTATTCTTCCTAACCAATTTTATTAAGTTTTCTAATATCAAAAGTTAAAGGTATACAATATTTATTTTATCTTGTTTAATATTTAACATTTTTGTTTTATTTCTTATTTCAATTTTTTTTGTTGATGAAATTAGAAAGAAGAAGATCAAAGTCAAGGTTCAAGAAGTTGTAAAAATTTGTTAAAGTATGTTTTAATTTTAATTTTTAAAATATATATATATATATATATATATATATATATATATATATATATATATATAGAGAGAGAGAGAGAGAGAGAGAAAGTTGGATAGATTTTTATTGTTGTATTGTTTTAATTTGTGAATAGGTTAAATAGTTTATAAATAGGTTTAAAATTTTAAAAAATATAATATGAAAAAATTGAAACAGCTTAGAAGTATTAAGTGCATATTTTGTATGTGAGTTGTTAATACGTGTATATATTTTGTATGTGAGTTGTTAATATGTGTATGTAAAAAATATTAAGGATTTTAATATTTGTATGGAAAGACACAAGTTGTATGTGAGTTGTTAATATTTTGTAATTAAGTAAAAACATATTAAGTATATATATATATATATGTTAGTACGTGAGTTTTTAATAGTTGTATGTAAAAAATATTTAGTGTTTTAATGTTTGTATGTAAAAATACAATTTGTTTTTACAAAAGTGTAAAAAAATTATTAAGTGTATGATTATTAAGTTTTTTAATATTTATATGTAAAAATTTAAAATATTAAGTATATATTTATATGTGGATTATTAATATTTGTATAAATATATATATGTTAGTACGTGGATTGTTAATAGTAGTATGTAAAAAAACTATTTAGTATTTTAATGTTTGTATGAAAGAATAGAATTTATTTTTAAAAGAGTGTAAAATAAATTATTAAGTATATGGTTATTAAGTTTTTTAATATTTGTATTTATATATTAATTTGAAAAAATATATTAATTATAATTTTTATTTAGAGATATAATTATTATTTTAAAAAAATTATTAATTATAATTTTCATATTGATGTATTTATAATTTCATTTTTTATTTATTTTAAAAACATTCACTTTTGTGTCATGATTTCCACGTGCAAATATTCTGGACAAAAATCCGTACCACTTGACCCCATCTGAGCAATTATGTATTGTTTAAATATTTGCCTCGTCATATTCACGACACAAATTTGTGTCATGGAATTCACGTGGCAATCTTGTGTTCTGAATCATGTGCAGTATGTTAAAGTATTTGCGTCGTGATTATCATGACAAAAATTTGTGTCATGAATATCACGTGGCAAAAAGTTGCTGCATGCACTCCTGCCTTGTGATTTTACCACGACACTAATTTGTTTTGTGACAGGCTTTTTACGTTTGCCTCATGATTATCACGAGGCTGCATACTATGTTTTTGGTAGTGTTAGCTCCTGGTTGACTATTTCAACCAAATATATTCTTTTTATCCTACGTGGTTGTCCACATGGATTTTTTTTAGAAATATTTTTTTTAAAATACCATGTGGAAATTTTTAATTTTAAAAAATAAAATAGTTAAAAAAAAACTTATTATTTTGTAAAGAAAAATTTAAATATTTTTAATTACGAGGGGGTAAATAAGAATTCGCTTACATTGCAGGGGATAAAAAAATTTCTTTTAATTTTTTTATTTAAAAAATTTTGTTCAGGACGAATTTTCTCTCACACATACAACATTCCCCACACCTCTTTCCCTTCTTCTTCTTCCTCCTTCATGGAATTCACCACTATATAATCCTAGTAACCTCCTTGATAAACCACGCTTGGAGCGCTGCTGAGAGTCGATGAAAGCTTTGTTGTTTTTGAAAGAGCTGGGAAGGCGAAACGACGTCGTAGAGTGCGTCTAGGGCTTGGGAGTTTTTGAGGATTTTTTGGAGATCTGAGAGGGATTGTTCGGAGAGAGGCTATGGTTTGTCGGGACGGTTTTTTTCGTGGAGGTCTTCGATTCAAAGACTCAGGTTGAGTATTTTCGTCAAGTGACAGCTATTGGCTATTTGTGTGTTATTTTTGGTTGGACGAGGATTCTTTCGATATTGAGTTGGATTGTTCTTGCCTTTGTTTTTAGTTTTAAGAAATCCGGTAAACTTGATCTCAACTTCATTGTAATTAAATTTGTTACTGGTCTTTCGTTACTGTCTATATGGTTTCTATTATTGAAATGAGATATCATTATGGTGAATTAATTGGTGGGTATATATGAGAAAGTTAGGAGAATGGAGGATGCATGCCATGTGTTTGATGGAATGGTTGTGAGAAGTGTTTTGTCAGAATTATGTCATATATTTGCGTGCGTGTATCTGGACTCCCATTATTGTTGTTCTTATTCTATTTAACATTGGAGTGGCTTGTTGACCCAGGTATCTATCATAACTAGTTTGGATGTTATGGATATTGCAAGTATAATATAGTGCATGTAAATTGCATTCTGCTATGAAGAGTTGGATAACATTTTGCAGTGAGTTTCATCTGGTATGGCTTAAGTGGTTAAAGTTGACAATAGCAAATTTTGTTCCAAAAGGAGCTTTTTCCTTGCTCCTATGTTTCAACTAATGGAAATTGATAGGGTAATAAGGAGTGGATACGTAAAATTAGTTGTCAATTTTGGGTGAAGTTGGTTAGCTAGTGTTATTGTTAGCTAGTGTTGTGAATCATGGATTACAGAAAATAAAAGTTCTCGACTCTGCTGTCACTTTGGACGATAAAAACTGCTTATTGTCAAAGTTGTAAGCCAAAAAGGAAACAACATAACACATATAGTATGGAATTCGGGATCTGAATTTTCATCATGTGATTATTCTTGTTACCATGTGTCACTATTTGTAGGGAATCCATTAGGCCAATTAGGAGACATTATGTAACACCCTATTTCCTCGTCGGTAGTTTAACCAAAAAATCAAATTAAATTAATTCATAAAGTAAAAACATCAAAAATAGGATGTACCTCTTCGTACATAAACTCATCCTCATATAATAAGATACACAATACATAATCACAAGTTCACCAAGTCTAAACTTCACTTCATTTATTCGTAGCGGAAAAACATCAACAACAGTTATTCTTAACTCTTTAACATGAGTTATAATTATCTTAATTCAAACTTTAACATGTATCATCAAATAAATCTAACAAAGTGGAGTTCTACAATAGTTTACTTCTATCATAATAAAATAAACGCAAAACCCCTAAGTGTTACATATCAGAGCTGACACTGACTCAATCTACACCAAAATGAGTCACTTCTCAGCGAGTCTCTACCTCGAGCTACTTTGGATTATCTACACGTTACCCACGTAGAGGCAACATTCAACTAGAAGAGGTGAGATATCACAACAATATAATAAGTTAAATAATCATAGGTATACGACAGATATATCACACAAGATTCCAAGATCAACAATCATCAATAATAATTCATAATGATTATACAAGTACATACATATTTATCATCATCCATCATACAACACATACCAACTATGAAACTCAACTTCATTGTTATATCAACAATTCAATCAAATGCAATGTAACTGACGCTGATGCAAGATGCTTATGGTACCAATAGGGCAGAACCCTCATCGTGATAATGCCAACTTAGGGAAACAATATCATAACGCTAATACAGGCCATTCTTCACCAATAAAGGCCATCATTCTCCAATACAGATCATCGTTCATGAATGCATGCAACATTGACATGCCATAATGCAATTCATATTGATTATTCTTACTCATCAATACCACACCAATACAGGCCGTCGTCATCATCATTATCATGCAATACATTGTGCAAAACAATCAAATTATTCATACAACAACATCTTACTCAATCGCATCAATATGCATCACACTTCATACAACATTAAAACACAAGGCATAAACCTTCACCAGAATAATCATCATAATATAGAAAATATCATATCATATCAACACCAAAATCCTCATGATTAATTCCACAACAAAAATAATTCATCATTAAAAATAGGACATTCTCAATTAATCTACTATACAAAGCCTTTGCATACATTTCACAAAACGACATATCTCGACAGTACAAAACACCCGTCCACGCATCAAATAGTTGGAATCATGGTACTGAAAATATTTTTAAGATAAAATACATTAAATCAGTGTTGCAACAATTTTAACTACGCATCAATCGGATACCCAAAACTTAAGTTATGAATCTTTGAAGTTTTACAAGATTTACCAACACTGACAATCTACCGCAATAAGCACTGACACCAAAAAACATCTTTACACACTCTTTTAAATTTATTTCCAGAACTTGAGACCATTTTTATAAAAAAAAGTACATTGAATTAGCTTTTCAACGGTTCAAATAGCATCCAAAACTGACTCATGGTTTGAAAGTTATGAACTTTTGAAATTTTCATTTTTTTTTCAATTTACTCTTGGGGTAACCGATTACCCAATATGTAGTACCCTAGTATCCCTAGTCAAAATGCCCAGAAATGTAGTTTTTTCATGCGGTAACCGGTTACCCATATACTGTAACCGACTCCCAATGTACCAGAGTAAAAAAAATCATATTTTTATGTTACGAAAATCATCTCTTTCTAATCAAAAACTCCAATATTTCTACATCAAAATACATAATATAATTTATCACATTGTCATACTACATCTACTACCTTCTAACTTAACTCACATCGTCAATTTCATCAGTTATGCACAATTTCAACAGATTAAATCAAAAACAATCTACACCCAAAACCTAACAGTCAATATCATCATCTACCCATAATTATACCATCTATTGGGGAGTCGGAACCTCACCCTTACCTTAGGTTGTAGATTCCTCAAGCTTCAACAATGGTTCCTCTCTTCTTAGCTCTTTCTCTTCCTCGTTCTACTCTTTTCTCGTTTCTACGACCGGACAAAATAAGAATGCTCTTCTATTCCTCTTGTTTTTACTTATCTAACCTTTGAACCCCTAAATCACTATTCCAACCTTACCCTCACTTGTTCAACACAACGTTACCATCTTGCCCTTGTCTTATACTATTATTCACCTCACATTATTATAAATAATAATTCTAAATAATATTATTAAATCCAATTTAACCTCAAATAACTATTTAAGCTCTAAATAATTATAAACTAATTAAGTCCTCATATTACTCTCATTCACACACTACTCATAGCACTGCATTCACCAATGCATCATATTACTCACCATAATTCATATATTCACCAATAATCATCAATATTCACACTAAATTAATTAAATAATTAATTAATTATTCTAGATTTTTTTGGTGTTACACATTGGAGAATGTTTGATATTCTGTAAAAATATTTGCTTGAATGGATGTAGTGATTTTCTATTACTTTGACAACTTATTTATCATGAAAATAGAAGAAAAAAAATGTACCCCTTACATGTGAGCAAATTTTCATTTACCGCCTCGTAAAAAAAAATTTAAAAATTAATTTGTTTAAAAAAATTAAACTTTTTTAAATAAAACAAAACAATATTAATTTTTTAAAATAAAAATTGGCACGTGGCTTTTAAAAAAATAAATAATATTTTAAAAAAATCCATGTGGACAACCACGTAGGTAAAAAAGAAGATTTTGGGTTGAAATAGTAACTCAAAGTCTAAACTCACGAAATCTAGACATTACAAGGGGGAATAAAAAAAATATTACAAGGGGTAAACCAAATACCATTACATTGTAAGAGGTGTTGTATATTTAACCTTTAATTTTTTTTATGTGTCATTTAAGATTATAAAATTAGTTACACTTAAAGTTTTAATTTTGTTGTTATTAATTTTTAAATTATCTTATTAAAATTTTGTTTGAGGTTTCTAGATTAGTTGGATTGAACTCCATTGTTTAACTTTAAGAGTTAATAGTTATTCTCCCCCCTGATATATGGGCGGTTTTTGAAAAACTCTCTGTAAAAAAGTTTCAAAAATTCCCCTGTCATATGAAGATTCCCCTCCCCTGTTTTGCCTCCTCAAGAAGTTTACCCATCAATAATCTATTGATTTTATGTAATTTTCCCTATGTTTTTAAGGATTTAGACATATTTTGCCCCTTTCCAAATTAACTAATTTTGAAATTTCTCTCTTCCATGTTAATATTTTTTATGCTTAAATTTCTTGAGGGGACAAAACATGAGAATCTTCATATGGCAGGGGAATTTTTGAATCTTTTTTTTTACAGAGGGATTTTTCAAAACTCGTCTATATGACAGGGGGAAAATAACTATTAACCCTTAACTTTAATAAAATTTATGTTACAATTAATTCTCTTTTTTTTTGCACTTCTGAAACAAATTGTTACTTCAAGTGATAAAAAATATCATATTTAGGTTGTACGTGAATATTAAGAAAAATAATTAGTAGTATTGATTTTAATAGTAAATGAAAAATAATTTTCAAAAAATCATTATTAGTAGTTATTAGTGGCAGAGACTGATTCATAATCATGTCAATCGAGGACTTGGAAAAATTTTACTTTTTTGTGTCTAAACTAAATTTAGTCCTTGAAAACAAAATGTGCATTTGACGGAATTTTTAGAGATTTTATCATAGTAGCAAAACCCTTCTTTTTACTATTATCAAGCTAACTCAATTTTTTCACACCCTAGGCCTGCTGCATCAGCTTTCTTCTCTATGGATTTCTCCATTCAGTGGTCATGTCTAGATTATTTTTACCTTCCTCCACATAACCACTTCCTATCTTGCCGGTAAAAAAACATTCGCACAACTCCTTGATACAGTCTGTAACATTCTGGTGAGTCAGCTTTCTCAATCGATGGTCAAAGGAGATCATCTTTTAATAACCACCCCATAGGAAGAGTATCTAGAAGGAATTGAACCATGCAAGTACAACTTGCATGAGAGGAGTCACTTGTCCCAATGGGTCACCGCCCTTAAAGGTTGATGCCTTGCGTGACAAGTTAAACAAATTATGGAAATATATGAAAAATGGGGTGTAACGTCATTAGAGAAAAGCTTTTATGAGTTATCTTTTTCTTTGCTTGAGGACCTGCAAATATTTATCTCTTCTTGTTCGTGGAACCTAAACCTTGGTCTCTTGATGTTATTTATGTGGTCTCGGGATTTCAATCCAAATATTCAACATTAAACATTGGCACATATGTTTGGTTGCATATTTTTGGTCTTGCTCAAGAGTATAG